TGAGGGTAGAGCAGAAATGTACAAGGACTGGTTCAGGCCAGACCCCCGATTCCTATTTCATTCAAACCCAATGCTGGAATAAGACTTCATTCTTTTATTGCTTCTCAATCGCCCTGTTTTCATCTGGGCAGAGCACTTCCTTCTTATTCTCCATTATGTGTTAGAACTACTTTCTTATTACAACACATCCCCATATAGGGACTATAAAGAAATTGGAGGAATATGTCTATGTGTGTTTTTGTGTGGCACAATATCTATTACACTTGTCTCCTTTTACACATGCACACATGCACACACACAACCCTAATCATCACAGAAATGAAGTAACTTTTGCCACGTTGATAGAATATTTGCTGTGATCTAGATGCAGGTTAAAGAATTTCCAGCCCTCTAGATGTTGGCCTTCAGATTCCATCAGCCCCAAGTAAAGTGGCCAATAGTTGAGGATAATAGGAGCTGTAGTCCAGCACATGAAGGTCATTTGCCTGGACCTGAGTTAATGAAACTGACACTGGATGTTGCATTTGAACAATCATGCGCAGTTCTTTTAAACATTTTTCTTGGATGGAGTGTTAGTGATCATTCTAATTCCTCTAACATTTTTATAAAACTATTATTTAAGATTTCTTTTTCCACCCAGGTATGTCTTAGTTACTATAAAGGCCCCATTCTTTTTATGTTATAGATCCAGATTTTTAAAGGACAGACACATATTTTAGATTTATTTAGATTCTCCAATGTTTTTTGCTTTATTCTTTTGTTTAGAGCAGTGTTTCTTAAACTTTTTTTCTCTCAGGACTCCTTCCCACTTTTAAAAATTATAGAGGCCCCAAAAGAGTTTTCCTTTGTACGGGTTATATTTATTGATATTTACAGTATTAAAAATTAAAATTGTCACATTTGCGGCCTATACCGTTTCTCATGATTGTTTGATGGGATTTTAATATTGTATTATTGTTCAACATAAGCTGGCAAATAATTTTGATTTCATGGATCCCTGAGAGGGTCTTGGGGGAACCCCAGGGGTCCTCGGACCACCCTTTGAGAAACACTGGTTTACAGCATACATGAGAGCCTTTCAGAGAAGAATGCTTTTTATTAGCAGTTTGAAGACTAAGAGCAGAAATCTATTAAATAAATGAGGGTTGTATTTACAGTAACTGCTTTCCCCTTTCAGTAGACTCATTCTGTGATGCAGTACAAGGCTATGGACACAATTTGTAAGCCAGCATACTTGTCAAACGCCTGAATCATTTGTATTTTCCCCATACACATTTTGCTTACGTGAGATGGTTATTTTTGTAGTCACTTTTAACTACATCTGTCTGTAAATGGGCAACTATGTCAGGAAGTTGTCTGTACCAAGGTTCTGAGGTTCCACAACAATCCACAAGCACAGGTTCACAGTCACACAAGATGTGGTGTCATGCATAAAATGTCACCATTGTTCTCCAGTTTTGAGCAAGTAATCATAATTTGTCCAATCTTGCACATTTACTGAATCTCCAAGCAGTGTGTGGTAATACTGTGTAGCAAAAGCATACCTATGCTGTATAATGTAGATGCAATTCTGGGATTTTTTTTCAAAGAAATATACTTAGCTTAATGCATGCAGAGGAACCTTTTGTTCTGTGAATACCTTGCATGGCATGATGTAATAAGGGATCTGTATGCATCTGTATACATTTGCAAGCAAACAACTAAGCTCAGAGAGCACCAGGGACTCCACAGATCTGTATATAGATGACATACTGACACATAAGTGCACACATAAGTGCAAACAGACACTTAAGTGTACACATACATATGTAATCCAAATTGGATTACAAATCTGTAAGCAGAGGTCCATGAATCTTGGATGCATGCATTTTCATCCCTCCGTTTTGAAGTTCTGATTTGCTTGGCTCTGGATGCTTTACTCTACTCCTTGCTAGAAAGAGGGTTATCTTAATTTTCTATGTTCTTTCAGGGCAGCAAAGGAGAGCCAGGACCACCAGGAGCACCAGGTGAAACTGGCCTGGCAGGCCTTCCTGGGCCCATGGGTCCCCGAGGATTGCCTGGGCCTCCTGGGCCGGGCATTGCGGCAGAATTTGTGAGTCCCAAACTTTTGAGGGTGGTCTAGAACAAGGTGCAAAATGCTGAAGAACATTGCAATTTCTATTGTTCTCTGTTTATTATATGTTATTGCTACTACTGAACCATCGATGTCCTTGGTACTTCAGAGAGAAATAGTAGAAGCTGACCAAATCTATTATGATCTGAGATTCAGTACAGAGTGAGAAGACAGATAAAGTCAAGGAAAAACAGGGAGAATGTCTCTTCAGTTCAGTTATTATAGCTAGCAAGGCTCTGTGCCAAGCTCCTTGTTGGTCAATACTAGAACTCACATTGGGCAAGCAGTGATTCATGGTTGCGGATCTCAGGTAAATAAGTTTATTGCAAGAACCAGAAAAGCTGTTAAGCAGGAATTCCAATAGCTGCCAAGTATAAAATGCAAACCTTATTTATAGTGAAATCACAGTTCAATTTTTGTGCCTCTTTCTCCCACCCACATGGTGTAACGGGGGAAGCTTTCCCTCCATCCCTTGTACTGGACAAGGTTGGTTTTGGGCTGTTTGCTTCTGACCTTACTGGAACTGTCACTCACATCCTACTGACGTAGAGGGATGAAGACTAGAAAAGATGAAGGCAGTGATTTCCTGGGAGAGGAGGACGTTCTGTGGAAAGCTTTGTTGTTGGTAAACTCTTTTTAAAGAAGAGGGATTGCCACCCATTCTCAAAGCTCAGGAAAGCCAAATCCACCCCTTAATCCCTTCAATATGAACAACTTAGAAGGAAACCTGGCCTGTAAGAGGGAACCATTGTAGGTTGAAAGACCAAGGACTAAAGACCAATCTTTTTGGCAGCAAAGGCTGTTATAGAGAAGAAAAAGGCTACAGTTATGACAATGAACAATCACAGAGGAGGAGACTGTGATATTCATGACATCACATTTCATTGAGAGAGCAGAAAATGGGGTTGTATAGTACTTGTTACATTATATATAGCAGATATACGTAACATGATATTATTCCCCAATAACCTAGGAAAAGCTAAAATATTGGGAGGTAATCAAGAGAGGAAATACGTAACATATCTCGGAAGTGTCAGTGCAAAAAATATAACTGAAATTACAAGGATTTGTAGTTACAAGGGCAGCTTACTGTTTTTAGTTCAATCAAGGATACAAGCTGAGAGGAAGTAAGGTACAAGGAGGAAACATATAATCCCATATGAGCTTGGTTTAACAAGCTGGGAACTGAACATGTGGACTGGGCTGCTGTCAGGACTGTGATCTTCCTATCTTCATTCATTGGCTTGTTCCTTTCAAGTACTATTTATGATTTGTTGGGGGGGGGGGAGGAGCACAGCCTTACAAAATGACATGCAAGGAAGAATCTTACATGATAACATACATTAGTTGACTAATAACATCTATTATTTTTTAGATCGACATGGAGGGCTCAGGAGTCCCATTTGTTTCTGGTGGCCCTGGAATTCGTGGGCCAGAAGGTCCTCCGGTAACCCACCTTATGATGTTCCTTTGCACATCCAGCCTGATATGCAAGCATATGAAGACTGACGAAACTGAGGTGTCACCTCTTTCTTTTTACAGGGGCTTCCAGGACTTCCGGGACTTCCAGGACCTCCAGGACCCAAGGTCTGGATTTTAAATTTTGCGGTTTTTGCTTCATTAGGTGATATATAGATAGTTTGGTGAGGTGACTTTGCCTGCTTTAATCCAAAATTGCCTCTGCAAATGATAAGGGGCATTTTATGACTGACCATGTCCACTGTGACAGCCATTCTGTGAGACTGTCCATGACATGCTTTCCCAAGCCGGTGCCCACAGACTCTAAAAGGTTTCCTATCTCTAGAATACACTTTAGCACTAAGTTTTTTCATTATCCTATTCAGATTAACATTGAAATAACTAAAGTCGACAGAGCTGGTGCAGTATTGCTGATTGTGCTGTTATATTCAGAACCCTGCACTAATAGAATGTTACATATATGCTGTATCTTGCACAAGTAATTGATCTTGCACAAGTAATTGATCTTGCCCAAGATGTTGCACAAGTAATTGGTAGAGGAGTTATGGGGAGGTTCTTTCCTAACCTTATCAATGAGACTCACCTCTTTGTGATACACAATGATCTTGAGTGTTGATCATAAGTCAACATTGATGTTGAGCAATCTGTTGTTCCCACAGTCCAAATGGAAGATAGGTAGACATGCGAATGACTTATCCTTCTGTATTTTATTTAGATCATGTGACACATTGTCGCCCTGATTTGTGTGTCCCCCCCAAAAAGTTATTCCCATGTATAGAGTCACTTTTTGTGAATTGGACAGCTATATAAATTTGATAAATAAATAAATATTAAGTAGTATTTGTAAAAAATAGTCCATATGTCTGTCTTTTTGTGAACTCTAGGGATATGAGGGCATCATTGGTCTCCCAGGTTTGCCAGGTGAGAAGGTAAGTTCACGTCAAGAAGTTTGGCAAAAAAAATTACATTTACCTTCCTCGATGCTAGCTTTAAAGAAATGTTTTATTCATATACTATCAAAAGAATTAGGGCTGTACACACATAGAAAATGACCTGAAGAGGCATTTTGGACTTTGTGTGAGTGTGAGAATTGTTCATCTCTACTATTCATTAAAGCAACCTATCTATTTTCAAAATATGACACAAATTTAAGGAAAAAAAGAGCACCGATTTAAGGATATTTGTATATTGGTTTGTTTGTCTTACTTGTCCAACTTTAAAGGGAAAAGTACTGGTTTAAGGACATTTAGACAAGCTGTAACTTCCAGGTGGTCTTCAAGGGCAGCCCTGTGTAGGAATGAGTGCCTGTGAGCAAGGCCTGACATCCAGGAATGGGGACAATTGGCACACAAGAATCTGTGCAAAGCACCCCCGCCCCCCATCCCACCCCCCAGCCTCTGCTGCTACCTGCTACTCAAGCAGGAGCTGCAAGTCCAAATTGCACACCAGGTCTATCTGGGGAAATACTACCCCATCAAGAGTCAAAGATAATGTATCACCAGATCCAGAGCGGCCAAAAACCCAAAGCTATTCTATCTTGCTAAAGTTCAGTTGGAGCCAGCTCCTCCCCACCCACACCCTCACAGCCTCCAGACTTTGGGTCAGCACATGAATGTCATTGCCAGCCTGGCCTGGGGTGGAGATGTATAACTAGGTGTCATCATCATACTGATGATACTTCACTTAATGCTGTTGAATGACCTCACCCAGTGGTTTCACATAGATATTAAAGAGGAATGGTGAGAGACCTGAACCCTAAGGCACACAACATTATAGGGGTCTAGGGTTAGACTCCCCCCTCTCCAACACTGACTGGAACCCAATACAAAAGAAGAACCACTTCAGAACAGCGCCCAACCCCACCCCCACCCCCTAACCCCTGAAGCCAGTCTGGAAGGATACCATGATGGATGGTATTGAATCTGCTAATGAAGTGACTCTTAAGGGAGCCTCAACCTTTTTTTCATGGTCACATGGAAGCCTGAAATAAACCAGGCTGCTTTAATTAATAGGAGTGAGGCCATGTGCTTTCATGAAATTCTGTAGCACTTCCTCTTAATCATTTTTGAAGCATGCACAGCCCTAAATGTATTTTAACAGGAGTTGGATCATTGAATTACATCTGGGGTGAAAACCAGGACTTAATTTTATTCTATTCTGTTCCCCCCTCCCCCAGGGAAATCCTGGTTTGCCAGGATTAGATGGTCGCCCTGGATTAGAGGGTTTCCCAGGACCACAGGTGAGTCCAGTGATGACTCCATCTAATTTCCTATGATTTTAGGAAATCATAGAATTATTTCTTTGAAAGCTTCTAGCCCTTGGACCCAGAAGATTATGATATAAATAACCTGTATACACAGTTCTACAGAAAGCATCAGATAGCAGGGCTGCTGCTGAAAATGGACTTTGATTCCTTACTAATGGCCTTGTATGGTGTCTGTTCCTACACAGTTAATTTAAAGTGACAGTGATATTTCTTCAATACCTGTGAGTGATCATACATGCTTCAAATATTTGTTGTAATGGTGGTGGTTGTATATAGCTTTTAATTCATGTAAGATAGGCTGTATTCATTCATGAGAGAGGGGAAGAGACTGAGTGAAGGTAGTAGATTAGAAGCCATTCAAGTGGGTCAGTGGTGAAGTTTCAGTCATACCTACTATACATTTCCTAGATCCTAGTTCAGCCCTCCATATGCTGGACCATAGTCACTATCATTTGCAGCACATTCCATCAGCATACCCAGTTGTCCTTTGTGTGAAATTGACTTCTTTCCTGAAAATGTCTTTTTCTTCCCATTTCAGGGACCAAAGGGTGACCAAGGTGACCCAGGGCCTCAAGTAAGTACCACCAAGATTTGAGGAGAAATTATGTTTGTGTGTTGTGTAATAAAATGTGGAATGTTTCATGTAGGATTTTGTTGGGGACAAAAGTCTGAAGAACATTGCAATTTATTTTGTTTTAAAACAACACATTTCAAAACTCTTAGTTTATTCCTGTGAAAATATATTAATCTAAGAAATGTGCCCAATTCACCAGTTCCTGAAATATGTGCACATTCTAGTATCTTCATTGATCCAGTTAGCATTATAAACCATGATGATTATCTGTGCCCAGCCCTCTTAGAGGAAACCTGAGAGAACTGTTGCTAGGCAGGAGAATGAATGACTAGCATTAAGATGACTCCTTCTTTGAATGCCCAAAGATAATAGCGTCCTATGCAGAACTGAATTTTGCATTAAGAGAGTTGGATGGAGAATTTTTATTTTAAATATGCAAAAAAATTGTTCTTCCAAAATCCCAGTTAAAAATCTGAAGTTTGTAAACATTTTTCTCAATGGTGTAGGAATACAACTTGGCTAGAACAGATGCAGTCAAGTAGGTTTGAAAGAAAACCCTCAAGACTTTTCTTTCTTTCTTTCTTTCTTTAAGGGTGAAAAGGGTCAAGATGGAATAGGACTTCCTGGTTCTCCTGGGCTCCCTGGCCCTCCAGGACAAGTTGTGTACCTGTCTAATGAAGATGTAAGAATATTTCTGCCTTTTACTAGCTATTTTCTTTTACTCTTCCAGAATAATATTATCTTAAGAGGAGTGCTGCTCCAGAAATTACAGCACTTTATTTCTAAATGTTAAGGATCTGATGTTACTAACCATAAAGTTATTGCTAGAAAGTCACTGCTATTGCACAGCTAGATGTCTAGAATGAAGATACTTTGATTTTTTTTTTTTTAATCAGTCTCATGAGTTTTCAGGCAAATGCCACATAGGAGTGTTTGAAAATACAATTATATGCAGATGTAATGCATACAATGCAGATGCAGATTTGAGTGTAGTCATTAACCATTTTGTGATGCTAACGGCTCTCTTTAAATGTTCTGCTGAGCAATCTAAGGAAAAGCAGTAGCGATCACATGTTTAACACATGGTTTTATTATTTTTAGAAAACTCTGCCTGTTTTGCCAGGCCCAGAGGTAAGTAGAAGGGGAGGCTTTATAAATATTACTACCAGTTTTAGAAACATTTTGTTTTTGTTGCTAGATGCCTAAAATAGGATCAGACTGCTTGCAAGAGTATAAACGTTAGCTTTTGCTAGGTAAACCTGGTCCTTATCTGAACTTTATTATTAGGATTAAAGTTATAAGAACCTTTTCTCAATATAATTCTCAAGAAGTAGGTTTAAATTTCCTTTAAAATCCATCTCAGTTGTTCCTTTGGGACATCATGGGATGAGTGGATAGTGCTCTGGAGGGGTTGAAGAGTAATATGCATGAAATCTATGAGCTGAAGTTGCTTTCTTTGAAGACCTTATCTACTTGCCCATTCTGAAAAGGGTTTACTCAACTTAGTTTTCTCCTGAAGGAGTTCTAGTGAGTTCTATTGCAGATTTTGCAACAGTTCTATTCCATTCTGGAAAGGGACCATCTGAGTCCTCTTCAGAATAAATGTGGATTATGAAGTGGTCCTACAGAGGACAATCCCATATGAGGTAGCTCCAAGCCTCTGAAACTGCTCTCACTCTTGAAGTGCTCTTATAATTAAGAGAGGATCTGCCATTCTGATGAAAAATAGCAGTTTTTGAACCTTGGCAATGAGGTAGGGCTTTTGTGTATTGGCCAAGAATTGGACAGGTAATGAAACCAAACCAACAGGATAGTATGTGTTGGTGGAGGATTGCAAAGCTGTCTTTCTTCTCTTTTCCTTTTCAGTATGTTAAAGGCAAGTAGTAGGAGACAACGATCTGCAGAACTATTAAAATGGTCTGGATGCTCTTGCATGTGGGGAGCTGAGAGACTCATTACATTTTTCAGGCTAGGCAGATATTTCTTAGTTTTCCTTTGACCCTAAAGCTCTGCTCTGCTCTTCCATCCCCTCCCCTCCCCTCCTCTCTCACAATAGTTATTCCTGTTCTTTGCAAGTTATTCAAATGTGTACCTAGAGAATAAAAAATGCATTATCTACCTACCTACCTACCTACCTACCTACCTACCTACCTACCTACCTACCTACCTACCTACCTACCTACCTACCTACCTACCTACCTACCTACCTACCTACCTACCTACCTACCTACCTACCTACCTACCTACCTACCTACCTACCTACCTACCTACCTACCTACCTACCTACCTACCTACCTACCTACCTACCTACCTACCTACCTACCTACCTACCTACCTACCTACCTACCTATCAATCATTTACAGAAAGAGAGTACAGAATAGCATTCTATGAGCTGAGATACCCAAACTGTTTTAGAAGTCCAAGAAAGAAATATTTTAACAGGAGATCTGCAGGAAGCCATGACTAGTTTCAAGGCAGTATTCCTCCAGCATGTTCTACTGTCAAGTAGGTTAATGAAAGAAAGAAGTCCCTATTGGATTACCACATGCTTTAATGTCCCATAGGAGAAGAGTTTGCAGTTAGCAAAAATGCTCAGAAATAAAATTGCTCCATTAGCCCAAGCACTGAAAAGATGGGACAAGAATCTTTATGACCTGAAATATATACCTTCATCTTTAGGGCCCAGTGGGACCAAAAGGGGATCCAGGAAGCCCAGGTTTACAAGGCTATCCAGGACTGAAGGTAAGACTATACAAAGTACTTTCTTTAAGAATCCTGGGTTACAAGATCATCACCACAGTGCAAAATTGTTGGTTACCCAAGATGTTTGCCCTTTGGTTCTAGTTTTACTATTGCCACATATCCAACTCAGTTTCTATCATCAGAAGTGCCCTCCCCGTGACCCATTTTCATCCTTAAATCAGGCTTTCTCTAACTGCTTCCCTAAGTTAGAGTAAGCTGTTTCATTGGTTGGAATTTGTGGAAAAGCTAAATGGGAAATGAAATATTTTAGTGCGGGAGAAAATGAATTAGATGATGTTCTGGTAAAACTAAATTGAATTTGTGGAAAACAAGAAAAGTGTAACTGAAAATAACTGGTTAAATAGTTATTTCTACCAGTCATTTTCCTTTCTTTAAAATGTCTTTTGTAGGGTATTTTATTTTTTTCTTTGTTGAATGAGCAATATATCTTACTTGTGTGATCAACAGTAAGAAAGAGAACCATCTTATTGCAAGAATACCTAATGTTACTGTATTCATAAGTTATTTCCATAGTAGAAATTAACAGCAAAGATACACATAATATCCCAAAAAGAGCACATTTAGGATTGGTTTAGATATTATGTTCCCTTGTACACACCAACCTGACCATGTCCCAGCATGATCACCCTCGTGGTGCACGATCAGAAGCAGTTAGAAAAATTATGGCAGTTACTTTTAGCCAAAATGTATGGTTAGTCTCATTTCAGTATTGTAGCTTTTACAATAGAAAAAAGAATAGAAACTTGCCCACTGAAGAATTCATTTTAAAAATTGAGAGTTGGGATAATTATTCATTTAAGTTCAGGATAATAATTGCATACTTGATCTGTGCTGGGTGGGAGTATGTATGTCTTAGACATACGAGAAAAGTACCATTTGGGATCCAGTTTAATTTCTCCTTACTTCAATAAGATCATTGTATTGTACTAAATAGATGCCTATAATACGGGCTGCATTTGCTCCGGAAATTATGTAAATCACTGTTCCTTCTTGTGTTCTGCCCCCGAACAGGGTGAAAAGGGAGATCCAGGAGTAACTGGGCCTGATGGAACAATCTTAGCAGCTGAAGCAAAAGGAGAAAAGGTATAAACAAGCTTATTTTTGCTTACATCTGAAGAATGTTTCCCACTTACTGTTGCTTTTGTGCAGTAAAATGCTAGAGGATCTGCTTCTGACATAGTAAAGAAGGACAGAGCTCCTCTTAAAGGGAAGAAAGGAAAGAGGGCCCCTAGCCCAGCTTCTGAGATAAAGCCTCCATTTTTCTTGTAATTGTCAAGGCAGTGCCACTGAGTTTTTAGATGACCTGTCCACCACATCAGTTATTCTGCCAAACTTTGGAGGGTATTATGTTTAAGGCATGCACTTGTACTACTCAAATATTTTCCAGGAGAAGGAAAGTAATTTCAGCAGACAGGTAGTAATGAGGTGGTTGTTTAGCATGAAACACACGCAGGCATTGTGGGGTGATTGATGAGGAGGGAAAGGCTGCCGTCCTTACATTCAGTGGGAAGTGATAATGAAATCAGCAGGCTCAACTGGTGCCATCCAACCACATGGTAGCTAGCAATGCCCATTGACAGCTACAGCCCAGGCTGGGGGCTACTAGCCAGTCATCAGCAATGTACCTCAACCACAGTGACTTGAGACTTTTTTTTACAATGGGCAGTTTCCATCAAAAGATCATTCCTGGAAGTTGTTGCTAGAAGAGATATCTAGGGAACAAATGATACTGCTGTATGTTGGACATCTGCAAACCTCTGGAAAAGTACTGAATACTATTTCTTCTACAGCCAGCTGTTCCTCATATATCAAGATATGTCATCTTGATTATCCAGAAGGAATAAAGTGAGATTCAAGGGGCAAGCAAAACATTGCTTCTCAAACATTTTGAAATTTCAGAAAATGTCCTGCTTTGACTACAGAGTGGGTCTGCTTTGCAAATTCTGAAAGTCTTTTAAGTTTTCAAAATGCCTCAGAAAGTTCAAACTAGCAGTTTCCCTTTGAAATGTGGCATTTCATGAGATTTAGCACTCAAAACATTTTGAAATGAAATGTTTTGCATATCCCTATAGGATTCTCTGAATCAACCTTCCTATTAGAACAGGGTTCCTCAACCTTGGCCACTTGAAGATGTGTGGACTTCAACTCCCAGAATTCCCTAGCCAGCCATGCTGGCTAG